CCTCAGGCCCATTTTAATTATCGTGCAACTGTTGCATTAACTTTGATTGTAAGCTTCGTAAAAGTCGATCGCTTTTGAGGGCGCTGAAGGTGGTGGACACGGTGTAGTTGTCGGCGTTGAGGTATCCACGGAAGGTGGTCTACTGGGAGAGGTAGGGGCGGATAAAACTCTGGAGGAGGTCGGAGGAGGTTTTAGGCGGGTACTGTTGGCGTTTACTGTGCTGTATGATCCTTGCAGATGATATGGAGCTTGTTGGTGATACGCTGGGCCCATGCCCGGGTTGTCCTGCAAAATAAAAATAGAAATGATAGAAAAAGTATTCTGATTTGGTTTTTTTGCATGTTGGCCGGCCCAAATTGCGTCAAAATTTTTTTAACAATTTTTTCAAATTCCTTAAATTTTTATGTCCATAACAAGTTTTTTAGATTTTTTCGGCAGTGACGGAAAAAAGTTATAAAGATTTATATATATATATATATATATTATATATATATATATATATATGGCAATAATTTTTGTGTCACTACTTTGGCTACTTCTACTAATTCCGGTGGAGTCAAAGAAAACTCGGAATCATACATTTTTTACTTTATAATATCAAAAATAACTTCTAAACGACCAAGTTCATATTTTTTAAATCAAATCTCAAAATTAAATTGACAGCTATTTAATTACTTTAAAAGTTGCCTTAGCAGCGCAGGTCTAATTGTCGCTATAAGTACAACATAGCAGACTAATTTCAAAATTCAAATTTCACATCGGTAATTTTCTTTATTGTAATAATATAATTTTTCAATATTAAATCGTCGTTTTTCCCGTCACAGATAAAAATTTTGTATTATACGACGCGAAGAGAAAAACGGAAGACCTGGTAACACTGCGTTCAATGTATATTCTGCGACATCTCCGCCGCGACCAGCAGCTTCTCGTATGCTGTGTGCCGCATCTACATCAGCAGAGGAAAAATAACTTCCTAAGCATCTCAAAATGACATGAAACGAACAAATGTCGTCCACCACATAGGCGTCTCGTCACTGATGGGAGTATTTTTTGCATAAACTTTTCACTGAGGTACAGCTTACTTGTGATCTGAACTGCATCCTGCTCCATAGCATTTGCATCATCCAAGGTTGCATGGGATTATAGTCAGGATAACCGTAGCTTGGTGCTGGACAGCGGGGACCGTACCTATAGAAACAGTAATATATACACTACTGGCTTTTGGATTGGTGGTTAGTGAATCTCAACTTCAAAACGAAAGACCAAATCGAAATGAAAAAATCTTAATATGCAAGAATATTTATTACAACATTAACGAATTTTATTATTTTGGGGCCACTCCGCAAATATACTGTTAAAAAAATAAGAGGGCGTGAATTACGAGAGGCAAATTTGACGATTTTCTCAAACCGCCTCTCCTGCCCTGGTGAGTTGTCGTGAGGTTTGGTTCAACCCCTCCCTCCGTCCCTAACTACACTTGAAATTTTTCAAAATATCTATTTTTACTGTAAATGTGGATTTATTTCAAAAAACATAATTAGTCTCATTATTTTTATTTAAGATTAGTTGACAGTATATGAGCAAGATAAATATTAATGAGTCACATTTTGCAATATTTTAATCAAGAAGCATGTTTTGCTTTAAACCATTTTTTGAAATCGTACACACGCGGGTAACAATACGTGATATTCACCTAAACGCCCCCACGTCAGACTGGGTGAGATTCGACTAGAAATATCAAAACTACACTACTCAGAAAAATTAAAGGAGCAAGAAAAAATCGAAATATTTCAGTGATTTTTGTAGAAAATGATCGTATCTAGACTTTGGGCCAAAAAGAGTCAAAAAAGGTTACTTTTGCTTTGTTTTGGAAAATCGACTACCTTTTACAATTGCTAATGAAAATGGTAACGTTTTTAGTTTTTTTATACCTCAATGTACACGATGGCAGATCGATCCAGGGTACGGTTTCTCAGGACCGATTGGTCAACATTTGAAAGAAATCAAAAGAGCAAATTTTTTGTATCAAAACAACCGGTACGAGTATTATGTAAAAAACGTCAAAAAACATATAAAATGTCATCTTGCAGAATAGGTTGTTTGCTAGGGTGCAAAAACATCATTCCACGTTTGCTCACTAGGCTCGTTGTGAACGTCCATCTGTGGAGGATCGGCTCTACTACACGCATTGTTGGTTGCATATGTTTTGTGAAGCCAAGTAGTCTGTAGCTTTCATCTCTAAGAAGAAAGTTCTGGATGATTATGTGTATTGGTCTGCATGTGTAAAAAATCAGTGATATTTGCTGTGTGAGAAAATCATTACTGAATATGATGCCAATATTTTATATGTTGTCCTTTCTGAAGAGGTTATGTTCAAGTGATAATTTTTTTACGTTTTTTTGTGTTTTCAAAACCTTTGAGGACGACCAGAATGAGTAAGATCGGACACTGAATTTGCATCATTTTCAAATGTTGACCATCGGTAATGAGAAGCCATACAATGGATCGATCTGCCGTCGTGCAGGGTTATTAAAGGCACATTTAGGTATA